TTTTTGCTTAATACCTGATGAGTGGCAGTCTTGGCTATAGAAAGCAATGTGGCATTTTAGTTTAGACTGAATTATTGCTCAAGACCTTTGTTATAACATTTCAACATTGAAAAGAAATACACTTCAGCATTGAACATACTACAAGGAATTTTTAAAGTCTTTCCTGGTCTGAAAAGCTAAGACCAATTGCGAAGTCTCTAAAAAACTATGTTAAAGGCCAGCAGGAGGAGCCTGCATGGCTGCCAATAACAAACCGATACCATCACTCTAATGGGAAGTGAAGTGAGCGACTTCACTTTGATATGTGAGCCATCACGGGGTTAATGCGTCTCGATGTCTATGTTTCACATCTTCTTCAATACTTCCTGCATATTCATTGTTTTTTAGCTAATTATGCCGGTCTAATTTTAGTAATAAAATAGACGTTAAAGCCACGTATTGCTTTTGGGCCGTGCTACCCTTAGATTTGGCAGCGTCATCTCAGTGATTCGTCCGGTGCCGTGCATGGAAACTCAGATCAAACTGGTCAAACTACGCAGGTGCTGATCAAATATCACCTCACTCAAGATTTGTGATGGAGTTACAGCTTCATTTTTTTACAATGCTTTTCGGAATTCCAATTGCATGGGCCATCAAACAGATACATTTCTAAAGAAGCTAAGTAGATAATGAATCAGATGTCGAGGTGGAAATGGCTGCCAGGCACACTTTCTTTAATATTTCCCCCTTGGCAAGGGGTGGCGTGTGCGTTTTGGTGGGAGGCCGGCTGTGGCTTAGTGGTTAAAGCGCCCTGCTCTAGTTAAACAGGAGAATCCTCGGAGTTCGAATTCCCCAAGCAGTGCCTTTCAGATGTAAACAAGGTCTGTCTGTTCAATGTTTGTGTCATGTTCAAACTAATGTGGTCAATTGAAAATCACTCCAGAGTTAACCTTCCAACAGATGAAATACAGAAACATTTCCATTGTTCCATGATTTCTGAAGATTTCAATCAATTATTATTGCTTATCTTTCAGTCTGAGCATAATTTGCCATACATAAAAATGCTCAAACATTTGCTCCTCCAAATCTTCTTAAAAAAGGTGGTAAACGATTTTATGCTTTCCTGGTTTAATTATATAAATGATTAATTAGTTTTAAAATGTATTATTCCAATTAATAAACATTTTGAAGAATCTTCCCATTGCCTCTTCCGAAAATCAACTGATAGTTTTCTAACCTGTAATAAAATTGGACAGATCCCTGGGGTGGGAGTGCCTCCGGTAGGGAAGGGTTTCAATTTGCATCAGAAGGAGGAGGGAGAGTTGCTAACAAGTAACAGTTAAGTTGTTATACACCATCCATCGTTATCGATATAGTCTGTGAGTATTTCTTTTAATATTGCTAAACTTTAAATCTATTAAACTTGACAAATTGGCAATTCTTTTAATAAGAAAAGACAAGATTTTGCCAGGTGGGTGAGCACGAATCTTGGTGATTGCGACCAGGGAGGCGCATGCGCTGTGGCTTAGGGTTGGTTTAAAGCGCCTGTCTAGCATAAACAGGACGATCCTGGGTTCGAATCCCAGCCAGTCCTTTCAAAGAGAACATTCTGGTATATCAGGCTTAAAAGACAGGGAGGCTCTAGTTGTCAATTACACAGAGCCAAACACAAGTGTGTGAAT